TGGCTACATTTCTATCTCTGCATCAATTAGCACAGTGATTTATACCGCAAGCAAGCTGTTTAGAGGTAATGGTACACAATTAACATCTCATTCCGCCATAAAGGGTATGCTAAATACCCCAGCCCTTGCTCTCCGTGGCCTGGAATGGAAATGAGTGTTTGTCCTAATTCCTACACCCCAAGATGTGGAGTGGGCCTGCATTGTACCGCTCCCCACCATTAATCTAATTATAGATAGCTGCAAATGAAGGGCCTGCGTAGGAGCTGGGAGCTTGGAGCAAAATAGCCTTTTTGTCATCACGCCTGACTCTGCCTGCGCTCACACTCTCCGGGCAGGCCTGCAGGATGGGAGTCTCCGTGCACGCTGCCTGTTGCACCACGTCTAATTACGGGCGCCCTGGAAACACGTCCCAGCCCAGCTGGAAACAGACATCCTCCTGCACGCCCGGTGATGGGTGGCGTCCTGCCGGCCAGCCCCGAGCTTCCACCGCTGCCCTTTCCCCTCCCCAGAGGCTGGGGGACTGCCTCGGGCTTCTTGCCTTGGTCGGACATGAGGGCGCGTTTGTGGTGGGTTTTGTTGAGCCTGAAGGAAGCGCAGAGGGAAATGGACAAGGGCAGCGGGTGTGTCTCCTGGCACCCAGCGGGGGAGAAGCTGCACTGCCCAGTCTGTTTCCACTGCTGTGGTTCTGTTCTGGGCTCACGGGTGTTGGTACGGGTCTGGCCGTTGTCACCATGGGCACAGCCGGGTTTTCTCTCTAGCAGGTGGGCAGAAAGCGGGAATGTCCTCTGGGGCCCGGCTCAGGGGTTGGAGCCTGATGGTGGGTGGAGAGGCAGGAGAGAAGCATCAGGCCGGGGAGGGGGGCGGGGACATTGTGCCAGCCGCCCCTCAGGCCACCTGGGAGTGTTGGTCATTGCAGAAAAGAACCCACTGACCCGCCGTGACTTAGGGTGGCCCCAGCTGACCCGGGACAGTGGCCCCGAGAAGGGGGTGCTTCAGGAGGGGGACAGAGGACCGGAAGGCAGAGGCCCAGCGTGGGCAGCTGTGGGGCAGCGGCCTATGGGTGTCTGGCTGGTCAGCATCAGGCCTCAAGTACGCGAGACCAAAGCGGGAGTCCACGGGACCGGCCCGGCCGATGGAGGGCACTCAGCCACGTCCAGGGGCACAGCCCTGTGACCCACTGCGAGGACAGCCGGCCTGCCCTGGCATCCCTGGGGATCAGCTCAAGCGCTTCTGCCCCTCACACATGATGGCTGCTCCCTCCTCCGCCTCCTCCCCCAGCACCGCCCACCCTTCTGCCTGCCCACCGTTGCCCCATCCAGGCTGAAGGCCAGCCCAGGCTTGGTTCCCCCCCCCCCACACACTTGGTTCCTCTGCTGGTGCTCCTTTTGCTTTCTCCCCCAATTTTTTTTTCTTTTGGTCACACCCAATGATGCTCAGGGGTTCCTCCTGACTCTGCACACAGGAATGACTCCTGGCGGTGCTCAGGGGACCATACGGGATGCTGAGGACCGAACCCGGGTCAGCCACGTACAAGACAAACGCCCTGCCCTCTGTGCTATCACTCTGGCCCTTCCCCATCTTTCGAACTTCAGGGGAGACGTTTTCTCCTCATACACGGTTGGTTTCGTGTAGGAAACTCCATAAACACTCTCAAATTACTTCGTGATGGGAGAGTTTGCCGTAATTAGACCATTAGATAACACCTCCTGTTTATGTCCTGTGTGGGCCGGCCTGGCCCAGAGCACCTGCTTGCCACTCTGAGGTGTGTTTTAGCTGACTCGCTCGTGGGACACAGTGCCATTAAAGGGGGGGGGGGACGGTGTTCTGTCTCCCCAAACCCCCGCACGGCCAGGTTCTAGCTCCTGCTCCACTCCAACTCCCCCAACAAACAGCTTCTGACCACGCAGGCAGACATTTCTATTGTCCCAAAGAGAGGGAGAGAACATTCTGGCAGCTTCTAGAACATCCCCTGTCTGCCCTGCCTAGCCAGCCCTTCAGAACACCAAATTGCTAGTTTATCTGCTGGAAAATAGCACCACCAGTCACTCTGGTCTCCCAGACCCCGCGGGGGACACTCCTAATTCGCCTCTGCCAGTCTATCCTGAAGTCCCCACTCGGCAAAACTCCGAGAAACCCGTAACTAGCATTTCTGTTGACGCACTTTGAAGGCCGCGCTTCCTGGGGCCTTAAGAACATCAGCTAGTTCTTGAGGCTTTCACCAGCCATGCATTCCGCATTCCGATGACCATCCCCTGGCCAGGGTCCTCCTCCCCTGGAGGAGCTACTGGCTTTTTCTTTTGTTTGTTTGTTTGTTTGTTTGCTTGCTTGCTGGTGGGGCTCAGGGCTTACTCCTGGTGGTGCTTGGGGAGGGGCTGCACATTGCAGGCCGGGGATCGAATCCTGGTTGATTGGGTGTGTGCAAGGCAAGTTGCTCTACCTGCTGTACAAATCAACCCATATATATATATATATATATATATATATATATATATATATATATATATATTTCCCCCCCCAGAAGGCTGTGGGGATGGGCCGGAGGGTCAGGAAGACATCAAAGGGAATCTTAAAGAGAACCTTCTCCCCGCCCTCCTCTCTCTCCTCCCAGAGGTCACTTCTAAGCCAAGTATTCGAGCCTCTCCGGGGCGTTTAGTCCGTGTTATTTTTTACTTGTGATGACAATGCCTCGCCTCCCCCTCCCCCCCCAGCAGATTTAAGAACAATAAACAAATACAAAAGGAAAAGGAACATCTCATCAATAACAAAGGGGCGAGTGGAAGGCATCCAGTCCCAAGCCTCTTCACATCTCCATCCAAGCCAAGCAGGACCCCTGCCGAGAAAGGAATCCCGGAGCTAGGAAACTATAAAAATAGTGTGGGGATCCAGTTTTCCGGTGGGATCCTGTGCAGCGGGGACAGAGATGGGGCCAGTCTTAGCTGAGTGTCCTTTTTAGCGTGTTTGAGATGGGCTGGGGTCTCTCGGGGCCCCTTCACGGGCCACCCTGCAGTGAGAAGAGGTTCCTGCTCTGCTGGCCAACAGCCTGAGGACAGCGAGATGGCAGTGGGCGCAGGGACGGGGAGGACTGGCCACATGCAGACTTCTCTTTTGCTTCTGTGTCCGGTAGTGGGGTGGGTTTTTCTTTCCCACACATGGATGGAGTTTAGAGACTGCAAGTGTGCCGTGTGGTGCAATGGTTATGTTCTTGCCCCCTGGATTCCTCCTGCCCTGGATGTAATGAAGGATCAGGGGTCTGATTACCCACTGCTGAGTGCCCCCTCTGTGGGCGTGTGCTGGGCTGGCGGGAAAGGCCCCTCCCAGCCCCCGCCTCCACCCCCCTGTGCTGCTTTTGACTTAGGTGAAAAAATCATTTTTTTTTTTTTGAATCACCGTGAGATACACCGGGACAAAGTCACTCCTGCTTGAGTTCCTGTCATGTAATGTCCCGGCCCCGTCCCTTCATTGGTGCATATGTCCCACCACTGTGGTTTGCAGTATGTCACCGGGAGGGTGTCACACATAGCCCTTAACCCCCTTCCCACTCCCAGTCTCTATCCAGAGTAACCGTTTCCAGCTGACTCAGATGGATCTTCCTAGGAGCTGGTAGGTTCTGTCAGCCCCAAGATGTCACATAACAGCCACAAGCTCAGGGCCGGGCAGACATGTATGCACTGGTGCCGATAGCAGGACTGGCACTCAGACACGCAGTGACATGCAGTGTTCCTGTTCAGCTGTGTGTGTGTATATGTGTGTGTGTGGGGGGGTGGTGTGTGTGTATGGTGTGTGTGTATATGTGGTGGGTGTGTGGGTGTGATGTGTGTGGTGTGTATGTGTAGTGTGTGGCAGGATGTGTGTGATTGTGTGTGGTGGTGATGGAATGTGTGTATGTGTGTGGTGGTGTGTGTGTGGTGTGTGGAGTGTGTGTATGTGTGTGGGGGATGTGGGGGTATGTGTGTGTGTGTGGTGGTGGTGTGTGTGTGATGGAGTGTGTATGTGGTGGTGGGGTGTGTGTGTATGTGGCGGGGTATGTATATGTGTGTTATGTGTGGTGTGTGTATGTGTGTGTGTGTGTGTGTGTGTGTGTGGTTGAGGTCGCTCATCAGACTCTTCACAGGGACCCTGACCCTGTCCCCTCTGCAGGGGTCCCGAGGAAGCGCCCTGAGCCATACCCTGGGCCCAGGTGGGCGCGAGTTTGCTGGTGGACCCTGTCCACCCAATTCCCGCGGGGAGGCTGGGCTTGTAGCTTTTCCGGGAAGAGCCACAGTGCCCTTGCCAGAGCACTGTGCCAGGAGCCAGCCCCCCATGCCCTCGCACTGTTTCATTTCGCCTCTCCCTGCACGGGCCATGCCGTGGCTCCAGGCACCAGGTTCTCCTGAGGCCCCGGGGGCGCGGGTGGCCCGGGTTTGATCCCCGAGCACTTCATGGTCCCTGAGCCTGCTGGGAGTAGCCTGCGGCCCAGGTCAGGATGGCCCCCAACCAGCACCCCAGAATCGTGGAGCGGGACCCTGGCCCTTTGCGCCCCCACCCATGAGCGAGCCCCCTGGAACCTTGGTCCTGCACCCCGTTTCTGCCCGATTCTTGCCATCTCCCTCCTCTGGGCCGAGGGACTTTGCCTCCCGCTTCCTCCTCCGTGGCCCGAGCCCCTGCCGTGGGTGTTCCGGCCAGAAGCATTGGCTTTTCCCATCAGGACTCCCACATCTCCTGGCCCCCCCCACCCAGAGAGAGGCGCAGAGGCCTGGGTTGGCCAGACCCCACACGGACCCCCTTTGTCTCAGCACCGGCCACACTCACAGCTGTCTGCTGCCATCTGCCGGTGGGCTCAGGACCTCTCGGCCAGGCAGGGCACCGGGGCTGGACGCACCAGGGGACAGCTCCCTTAAAGCTGCAGGCAGGCCTTGGCCCTGGGTCACTCGCTTGCCCCCAAGTGTCCCCTGGAGGAGGTTTCCTGAGTTCGGTGGGAGGCGAGGATGCTGATGTCTCTCTGTCTGTCTCTCTCTCCCCAGTACAAGCTGCACGTCCTAACCAAGCTGGCCGCCGAACTGAACCAGTTCATGCTGGAGAAGGTGCCTGAGGACACCAGCAGCATCCTGCGCTCCCCCATGCCTGGCGTGGTGGTGGCTGTGGCCGTGAAGCCCGGGGACATGGTGAGGACGGGAGGGGACAGGTTTTGGGCCTCTGGGGGGAGCTCGGCGCTCGGGGCAGAATCCTAGCGGGGGCTCGAGTCAGTCTCCCTGCGCTTCATTTTGTTTTGTGGCCATACCCAGCCATGCTCAGGGCTTCCCTCTGCACTCAGGGATCACTCCCGGGGGCTCGAGGGACCCTGTGGGGTGCCAGGGATGGAACCTGGGTCATCCACATGCCAGGCAAGTGCCGTCCCCAGTTGCAGGCGCATCCCGTGATTTCCCCTGCGGATCTCATATGAAAACTGTCTGGGGCGGCTTCCTGCCCAGAGGTATTCTGGGGAAGCACCTTCATCAGTCCCTCAGCACTGAAAAATAAAAGGAGGCAGGATGCTCAGCTCTGGGAGAAGAAGCTGCTTTTATTTATTTTATTTTATTTTATTTTTTGCTTTTTGGGTCACACCCAGCGATGCACAGGGATTACTCCTGGCTCTGCACTCAGGAATTACCCCTGGCGGTGCTCAGAGGACCATATGGGATGCTGGGAATCGAACCCGGGTCGGCCGCGTGCAAGGCAAACTCCCTACCTGCTGTGCTATCACTTCAGCCCCAAGAAGCTGCTTTTAGATAGACATCAAGGGGGTGGAAGTGATCGATTGTCTTTTCTTTTTTTTTTTTTTTGCTTTTTGGGTCACACCTGGCGATGCACAGGGGTTACTCCTGGCTCTTCACTCAGGAATTACTCCTGGCGGTGCTTGGGGAACCATATGGTATGCTGGAAATAGAACCCAGGTTTGCCGCGTGCAAGGCAAATGCCCTACCAGCTGTGCTATTGCTCCAGCCCCTGTCTTTTTTTTGGGGGGGGGGGGACACACATAACTGCGCTCCTTGCTTACTTCTGGCTCTGTGCTCAGGGATCACACCTGGCGGGGCACTGGGGACTAGACAGGGTGCCGGAGGTTGAACCTGGGTGGGTTGTGTGCAAGGCCAGCAACCCTCCCCACTCTCCAATGTCTCTGCTCTGAATGATCGGTAGTAACGGGGTCCAGTGATCCACCCTGGAATGCACAGGTGTGTTTGGGGGAACTCACTTTACGTGACAAGGCAGCTGCCGTGGGAGTCGCAACTTCCTGAGAACAGCCCCAAGAGGCTGGGCAGGGTCTGGTGTTGCGAGCGCCACCTTCACCCCTCCCTGGGCCAGGGCAGGGGGAGATGCTTGCAATGGCACGGGGAGGGGGAGGGGCCCAGGGTTACATGTGTCTTGCGTGCATCAGGCCGGCTTCCACCCCAAGCACAGAGCCGAGCGCCCAGAACCTTACGGTGACCGGGAAGCTGTTTGGTCAGGAGTGGGGGTGGGGGTGGGGGAGTGGGGGCATGGGGGGACTGGGGGGGCTGTGTTTCCTGTTTGCTGGAAGCCGCTTAAGCCTTTAGCTGCCTCCTGAGCTTGGCAGCCCTAATTGTGTGCCTGTAATTACAAGATCACTCTGTGTGTGTGTGTGTGTGTGTGTGTGTGTGTGTGTGTGTGTGTGTGTGTTAGAGCTTTCAGCAGAGATCCTCACTCTCCTGACACCTGTGTCCAAGCCTGAGCGGAGGGAGGAGGAGGGGGTGGGGGTGCCGGGTCCCCCAGGTTGCTTCCTCCCCCGCCCCTGCGTGTCCTCTCCTGCGGCTACCAGGGCAGGCGAAGGGCCCAGCTGCGGCTGGTGCCCTGAGAAATGCCCCAGAGGCCAGTAGGAGAGTTCAGGGGGTGTCGCTGGCGGCTGCCCGGGCCTCTTTGTCCTCCTGAAGGCCATCAGGCATGGGGGGCCCTGGATTTAGCCGGCTCCTAGCCCGCCTCCAGAACATACTGTCCTACTGTCCCCTCCAGTGGCCTGGGCACCGCCGGTCCTGCAGAACTTTCTTTTAGCCTGTGCCTGTATCTGGATAAGCAGAGCTCCTTTCTGCTCTCACCCCAGTGCCGCCCCCCCTTCTCACATACACTTTCTCACACACACAAATTCTCTCTCATACACGCACACTCTCTCTCATACATTCACTCTCTCTCATACACACTCTCACACATACTCTCTCCCACACACTCACAGACACACTCTCTTTCACACATACTCTCACACACACTCTCTCACATACACTTTCACACACATACATACTTTCTCACACACACACTCTTTCACACACACTTTCTCACACACACAGTCCCTCTCCCATTCTCTCCCACTCTCTCTCCCATTCTGTCTCTCACACACACATATTCTCACACATATACACACGCCTATTCTCTCTCTCACCCACACTTTTTCTCTCTCACACTCTCGCTCTCTCACACACATATACTCTGTCTCTCACACATACTCTCTCACATACTTTCTCACACACACTCTTTTTCTCACACACACACACACACTCTCACATACACATATACTCTCACGCTCTCTCTCACACACATATACTTTCTCTCACACGCTCTCTTTTGCTCTCTCCTTCATACACATACACACTCTTGTTCTCTCTCTCATACATATTCTCTCTCTCTCTGTCTCTCTCTGTCTCTCTCTCTCTGTCTGTCATTACTGTTGCTGACCAATGGGTTAAGGCTGGTCAGCACTAGCCCCGCTTCTGAAGTTAGCCGGGCTGTGCACTGCAGAGAGACTCCCCAGGACGAGGCACGGAGACTCACCACCGGAGGAGGCTGAAATGGCACTGCCGCGACTTTCAGGTTGTGTGGTTGGAAACAGTCTTAATGCCAGGACCTGAGCCCGGTTCCTTCTCATCCAAGGATCAGAATCAGCCATCTCTTGGCTTTTTTTTTTCTCCCCTGCCCCTTTTTCCCTTTTTGGGCCACACCTGCTGCTGCTTGGGGCCTCCCAAACCCGCGCTCGGCTGCGTGTGGCCAGAGCTGGAAATACGCCTCCTGCCTGCAGCGTTCCCTGCTGTCTCTCTCCGACCCCCGTCTCTCGTGCACGTGTGGGGAAGGGGGTGCTGATTAGTGAACAGAACCAAGCAGGCGGGTCGGAACACTGGGAACTACCTGTTCACGTTAGAGAGCAACGGACAGAATGACTTTTATCTGCCTTTTAAAAATATCTGCCTTCTGGAAATATTTTTGAAACGACCCGATTCTCGTTTCCATTTGAAAAATACGCCCCACCCATATTTGTTTTGGGGGCCAAACCCGGTTGTCTGAGGATCATAATCCTGATGGACAGACTCAGGTGAGCATTTGGGGTCTCAGAGGTTGAAGTCTAGGTCAGCTGCATGCAAGGCAAGGCATTGTACCAGCTCCCTGGCCCCAGAAAAAAAAAAAAATATATATATATATTCTTTTTAGAAGGGCTACATTTAACTCTATTATCATCACAGCATTTTGAAACTATTTTTTTTAACTTTCCAATGCTATTTTAAACCAAACATGGGAAATACATGTTCTTTCAGCTAATGCTGGATATTTTCCCCAGCACAGGACTATAGCGGCAGAATTTATTGTACAGGTTTCCTTTTGACTTTGAAGTGGTTAAATGCAACAAAAACGTAGGGGCCTGGAGCGATAGTCCAGCAGGGAGGGTGCTTGCCTTGCAAGCCACCGAACTGGGTTTGATTCCTGGCATTCCAATGTGGCGCCCTGAACCCCACTAGGAGTGATCCCTGAGAGCAGAGCCAGGACTCAACCCTTAGCACCACCCCGTCGCCCCAAAACAAACCCCAAAAGTCACCCTGAGCGGAGTTGCCTTGTTCTTAGCCTGTTGCTGTCAGATAGCAAACAATAGTGCAGGACCCCACCGGGGACCTGTAACACCGGATTTTCTGACCAAGTTTAGACCTGGCTGCCACCTCCTACTTGGGCCCCAGATCTTTGTCTTCCTTGATGTCCCTGTGTCCTTCGTGTCTGATTTGGCACCCTGCTGGCCGCAAAGGCTGCAGTGGCCCCTGCTTTCTGTCTGGGGCAAAGACAAGGAGGGTGACCCTGCAGTAGGAGGGAGCTGGGCGGGGCTGTCGTCCAGGGCACGGGGCGTCGGTGAAGACCTCAGACCTCAAAGCCCCACTGGAATGGCCCGGTCAGCAGGTGGCCAGAGGCGGGGACGCGAGGAGCCCTGCGGACACTGACCCTGCCACCTTCCCTTTGTTCCTTAACTGGCAAGGAACTGCCAGCCAACTTGGTGAGAACCCTCTGTTCCCCTTTTTTTTTTTTTTTTTTGCATTTTGGGTCACACTTGGCGATGCACAGGGGTTTCTCCTGGCTCTGCACTCAGGAATCACTCCTGACAGTGTTCAGGGGACCATATGAGATGCTGGGAATCGAACCCGGGTCGGCTGCGTGCAAGGCAAACGCCCTACCCGCTGTGCTATCGCTCCAGCCCCCCTCTGTTGCTTTTAAAAATACTTCATTTGTGTGGGTGTTTGGGCCACACCTAGTGATGCCCAGGGTTTTACTCGTGGCTCTGCACTCAGGGCTTACTCCTGGCGGTGCTTCAGGGGACCCTTCAGGGTGCCAGGGAACACACCTGTGTCAGCTTCGTGCAAGGCAAGCGCCCTCCCTGCTGTGCTGTCACTCGGGCCCGGGAAGCCTCTGTTCTCTGGGAAGGAGTAGGACTTTCAGGCCTCTTGAAGGGGGTGCGGGGGCTGGTCCTCAGGTGCAGGTCTGGCAGTGGTGGGGGGGGGGCGCGGGCTCCAGGCCCCTGTGGAACAGCTGTTGGAGGGAACCTCGGCTTCTGGGCCTTTGATTGCCTACCTGTGAGTCCAGCATGGCAAAGGCCCGGTTCCTAGCAGGGCGCATTTGCGTGCGTGGACAGACGCCACGTGATATGCAAACCTCCGGTTGCTTCCACAACACGTGTCACTAGGTTCCAGTGCTCCTCTATTCACGCTTCTAATGCCACCTGCCTGCCTGCCCGTGCTCCCGCTCCCCGTTCACTGCTTCCCGCTTTCCCCCAGAGGGTCCCTGGGTCCCTCATTCTGGAGCTTCCCCACCAACTCCCCTCCCACCCCCAATCCCTCCTCCAGAGGCAGCCGCTCCCCTGAGCTGACCCTTC